GTTTCTAGTAGTGTTCTTATGGAGTCTTTAGGGTTTTCTATATAGAGAATCATGTCATCCGCAAATAGTGACAGTTTGACTTCTTCGTTTTCTGTGTGGATCCTCTTATATCTTTCTCTTGCCTGATTGCACTTGCTAGGACCTCCAATGTTCTAGTGAATAACAGTGGTCATAGAGGACAGTCTTGCCTTGTTCATGATCTTAGAGGGAAAGTTTCTAGTTTTTCACCATTAAGGATAATGTTGGCTGAGCGTTTGTCATATATGGCCTTTATTATGTTAAGGTACTTTCCTTCTATACCAATGTTGTTAAATGTTTTGATCACATATGGATGCTGTATCTTGTTGAAGAATTTTTCTGTGTCTATTGATTCGATCATATGATTCTATTTTTTAAATTTGTTTATGTGGTGTATCATATTAATCAATTTGCATATGTTGAACCATCCCTGTGCCTCTGGAATGAAGCCCACTTGATCGTGGCGTATAATCCTTTTAATATGTTGCTGTATTCGGGTTGCTAGTATTTATTTAGGATTTTTGCATCTGTGTTCATGAGAGATATGGGTTTGTAGTTTTCTGTTTCTGTGTTATCTTTACCTGGTTTTGGTATCAGGGTAATATTGGCTTCATAAAATGAGGTGGGAAGTATTGCCTCCTCTTGGATTTTTTGGAAGAATTTGAGGAGAATAGGTACTAAATCTTTGAATATTTGGGAGAATTCACTGGTGATGCCATCTGGTCCAGGATTTTTAATTTTTAGTAGTTTTTTGATAATAGTTTCAATTTCCATACTGTTGATCAATCTATTTAAATTTTCCAGATGTTCTTAATTCAGTGTGGGAAGGTTGTATTTTTTTTAAGCACTGGTCCATTTCTTCTAGGTTATTAAATTGGTGTTATATAATTTTTTCATACCATTCTTGTATGATCCTTTGTATTTCTGCATTTTCTGTTGTTATTTCCCATCTTCCACCTCTGATTTTGTTTATTTGTGTCCTTTCTCTTTTTTCTTTAGTGAGCCTAGCCAGGGGTTTGTCGATTTTATTAACCTTCTCAAAGAACCAGCTCTCTGTTGCATTCATGTTTTCTGTTTGTTCGTTTGTTTGTTTTCAATTTCATTTATTTTTGCTCTAAATTTGATTATTTCTTTCCTTCTGCTGTCTTAGGCTTCTTTTGTTTTTCCTTTCCCTGTTTTTTAAGATGAAGCATTAGTTTGTTATTTTGAGCTCGTTTTTGTTTTTGGAGATAGGCCATTAATGATATGAACTTTCCTCTTATGACTGCTTTTGTCGTGTCCCAAGTTTTGATATGTTGTACTATAATTATCATTCATTTTTATATATCTCTTGATTTCTCCCTTGACTTCTTCTCTGACTCAGTTATTCTATAGTCACATGTTGTTTGATCTCTATGTATTTGTGGTTCTTCCTGATTCCTTTTTGCATTTGATATCTAGTTTCAATGTATTATCATCAGAGAATATGGTTGGTATGATTTCTACTCTCATATTTGTTGAGCCTATCTCTGTGTCTCAGTATCTGATAATTCCTTGAGAATGTTCCATATGCACTAGAGAAGAATACATAAGCAGCTGTTTGAGGATGAAAGGCTCTATATATGTCAATTATGTCTAGTTGGTCTAATGTGTCATTTAAGAAGGCTATTTCTTATTGATTTTCTGTTTAGATGATCTGTCCATATCCAACAGTAGTGTAATTCAGTCCCCCACTACGAGTGTTTTGGTCTGCTTCTCCCCTTCGTTCCATTAGTAGTTGATTTACATATTTCAGGGCTCCCTGAAAGTGTTATGTCTTCTTGGTGCATGATTCCCTTTATCATTATGAAGTGTCCCTCATAATGATAGACTTAAAAATCAAAAAGGTATCTTTCTTTGCCTTTTTTTTTTAAATTTTGAATTCTACTTTGTCCAAGATTAGTACTGCTACTCCTGCTTTTCTCTGAATGCCATTTGCTCGAAACATCATTTTCCATCCTTTCACTTTGAGTCTATATTTTTCTTTGGAACTGAGATGTGTCTTCTGGAGGCAGCATATGGTCGAGTTTTGTTTTTTGATCCAAACTGCAACTATGTACCTAATTATTAGTGAGTTCATTCCATTTATATTTAGGGTGATTATTGAAATATGAGGCCTTCTTATAGCCATTTTATCTTTTGCTTTCTGGTATCTCGGTGTTTCCATTGCTTCCTTGTCCTTGTGTTTCTGTTTTCTTTATTTTGGTTGGCTTTTATTGGTTTTCCCTCTGTTTCTTTTTGTTTATGTTATATACTTCGGTTCTAAATCTTTGGCCTGTGGTTACCTTTATGAACATGAAAAGGATAGTTGTATGTATACAGTCATCTCTTTTCTTCTGCATGTGCCTTATCTCCATTCCTCTTTGTGAATTTGGATCTTCGAATCCTCCCCTTTTCTGTTATTGTTGTCCCATTTTATCCCTATGTACACTGAACTTTAATTACTATCTTGCTATAGCAAATCTCTTCTTATTTTAAGCTTATAATGCCCTGTTCTTGTAAGGGTTGCACTTCTCTGCTTTTATCAGCCTGCTAGTCACCTTAGTCTTAATTCTGCAGTTTTTTTCTCATTTTGTTTTAGGTGAGCTGACCTCTTTCAGTGTTTCCTGTAATTCAGGCCATGTAGTGGAGAATTCTCTCAATTTTTGTATGTCTAGAAAGTTCTTTATTTCTCCTTCATCTAAAGAAGAGCTTAGCTGGATACATTATTCTTGGAGGGTAGTTTCTTTCATTTAATCGTTTGAATATTTGATTCCACTCCTTTCTGGCTTGTAAGGTTTGTGCTGAGAAGTCCGGCGATAATCTATTGGGTTTTCCTTTATAGGGTACCATCTTTTTTCCCTGGCTGCCCTGAGAATTCTGTCTTTGTTGTTGATTTTTGATAGTTTTAATACTATGTGCCTTGGTGAAGGCCTTTTTGGGTTGAGATAGTTGAGTGTTCTGTTGACTCTTGAATTCCAAGCTCCAGTTCATTTCTTAGATTTGGGAAATTCTCGTCAACTATTTGTCTGAAAATGGTTTCTATGTCTTTTTTTACTCCCCTTCGATAATGCCTATTATTCTTATGTGTCCTCTCACGATGATATCAGCTAGTTCTTGTATTTCTCTTTCATTACTTTTCATTCTTCAGTTTCTCACTTCTTCCTTCTGATTTATTTCTGGATTCTGTCTTCAATATCACTTATCCTTTCCTTCATTTGGTTGACTCTATTTCCCAAGCTTGTTGTTTCATTTTTCAACTCTCGTAGTATGTTCTTTATCTCCAGAAGGTCTATTCGGTTCTTTCTGAGGGCTTCAATCTCCTTGCTAAAGAACTCATTCCGCTCATTTAGTTGTTTTTTCAATTTCTGAAATTGTTAACATAATTCATTTCTAATCTCACTGAGTTTTTTCAGAAGTACTGTCTTGAATTTTCTGTCATTTAATTTTCATATTTCTATGTTGTAAGCATATTTCTATGTTGTAAGCATATTTTATTGAGGATTTTTCCATCAGTGTTCATAAGAGATGTCAGCCCATACTTTTCTTTTTTTGTAATGCCTTTATCTGGTTTTGAAATCAAAGTAATTGTGGCCTCATAAAAGGAGTTAGGGAGGCTTCTCTTTTCTTGGGTTTTTTCGAATAATTTGAGAAGAATAGGTGACAGTTCCTCATTGAATGTTTGGTAAAATTCACATATGAAACCATCTGGTCCAGGAATGTGTCCATTTCTTCCAGATTGTCCAATTTATTGGCATATAATACCTCATAGTATTTTTTTATGATCTTTTGTATTTCTGTGGAGTTCATAGTTATAGATTCTCTTTCATTTCTGATTTTATTTATTTGAATACTCTCTCTTTATTTCCTTGACGAGTCTGCTAAGGGTCTATTAATTTCATTTATCCTTTCAAAGAACCAGCTCTTGGTTTCATTAATCTTTTGTATTATTTTTTAGACTCTATTTTGTTCATTTCTGCTCTGATCTTTATTATTTCCTCCTTCTATTCACTTTGGACTTTGTTGTTCTTTTTCTAGCTTTTATTTTTTTTTTAAGTGTAGGGTTAAATTGTTTGAGTTTTTTCTTCTTTCTTGAGTTGTCTATATTGCTATGACTTTCCTTGTTAGGACTGCTTTTGCTGTGGACCATAGATTTTCAGTTGTTGTGTTCTCATTTTTACTTGTCTCTAGGTATCTTTTGATTTCTTCCTTGATCTCATTAATAACCCATTCGTTCTACAGTAGCATGTTATTTAGCCTCCATGTGTTTGTGTATTTTCCAGTTTTTTTTCTTGTAGTTAATTTCTAGTTTCATACCATTGTGATCAGAGAAGATGGTTGATATGATTTCAATCTTCTTAAATTTATTGAGATTTATTTTGTGTCCTAACCTGTGGTCTATCCTTGAAAATATTCCATGTGCACTTGAGAAGAATGTGTATTTTGCTGCTTTGGGGTAAAATGCTCTGAAAATATTTATTAAATCCATGAATTCTAGTGTGTCTCCTTGGCTCATTGTTTCATTGTTGATTCTTTGCCTGGAAGATGTGCCCATTGATGTCAATGATGTGTTAAAGTATCCTACTACAAGTGTATTACTGTTGATCTCTCCTTTTATGTCAGTCAATAATTGCTTTGTGTATGTAGGCACTCCTATGTTGGATGCATATATGTTTGCTATGGCTATGTCCCCTTTATTTATTGATCCCTTTATCATTATGTAGTGCCTTTCTTTGTCTCTTATTATATCCTTTGTTTTAAGTCTATTTTATCTGATATAAGTATCACTACCACAGCTTATTTTTCATTTCCATTTTTATGAAATATCTTTTCTCATCCTTTTTCTTTCAGACTGTGAGTGTCATTTGATCTGAAGTGGGTCTCTTGTAGACAGTATATGCATACGTCTTGTTTTCTTATCTTTTTGACTACCCTATGTTTTTTTTTTTTTGATTGGACCATTTAATCAATTTACATTTAAAGTGAAAATTATGAAATGCTTCATGAATTTACATGTCATCCTTGCACAGAGGCCATGCTATTCTCTGCATTGTTCCAATTATTTTATGTGTGCTGCCGAAGCTAGCAGAAGAGCTTGGAGCTTTTTTGTTTGTCATTTTGCTGTCATTACTCCTAGTGGCACATTTTGAAACGGAATATATGGTTGTCATACTTATCATCCAAAATTTTTTGATAGGAAAAAAATAGAATAAATCTAATATTATTTAATATATGGAATATGTCTACATTTGAAAAGAGCAAAGTTTCCATGGAATGCATAAAGAAGACTAACAACCCATGTAATAAAGATTTAAATGATTTTCATCGACAATGAGTTGAGTATGAGTTTTATACACACATATATATATACACACAGAGATATACACACACACACATTCAAAAAAGTTAATGTGATGTTATGCAGCATTAACAGCAGTACAATACTTGAAATAAGAAAAGAAAACATTCCTATTGTATTTTCTGATATCAAAAAATACCTGGAATATCAATTTCTTAACAATGCATCAAAACTTTTTTTCAATTATTAGACAAATTGGAAAGAATGGTGAGGGTAATGATAAAACTAGACAGATTGTTATATGAGAAATGTTTGAAAACCTTTGTTCATTTACCTTGAAAAGAAGAGTTCACTTTAGGATATGAGAGCTCTCTCTAAATATATGAAAGTTATCATATATAAAATGTAGTAGACTTGTTTGATTTGCTCCTAAGGAGTAATCTCAATTAAGCAAGATTTGAGATGATTATTTAACTAGGATTAATGGTGATATCTAAAAGGGAACAGATAAAACCATAATGTAAGGCCAATCTTTTTAACACAGAGAACTGTGGAATTGAGAGCTTTAATCATCACATGAGAAGTTTCTCATGGCATTGTATAATTTTAAAATAAGTAACTCACATGGGGTATAAAAATTATTTTAAGTTTCTTGCATGTTATATGTGACAGAAAAATGCCAAATACAGTTTCATATGAAAGTTGGAGTGAAAAGCAAGGAGAGTAGCTATCAAGTAATCTATAAATTTCTCTCCCTAGTGGGCATAAATAGTAGCCCTTACTATGAGATTGGGGGGATTTTTTATTATTTACACCTTCAGGCTTTACTCATGTGTGTCTTTAGCAATAAATGCTGATTGTAATAACAGTTCCCATTTGCAGAGCTATTACATTATATGGGCACTGTATTAAATGCTTTTAGATGAACTATCATATTATTTAATTCTCAAAACAATACTATAAAATAGGCACTAGTATAAATCTTGTTTGACAGATAAAGGAACTGTTCTTAGAAAGATTAAATAACTTCTTCAAAGATCATAAAACTAGTAAGCGACAGAGCAGAAATTTGAACAAATGTCTATATTACACTAAAGGCAAACCAATAACCACTATATACTATCTTCATTTTAACCACAAAGTATATTATCACCGAGAAAAATTTTTCTTTACAACCTTAGTAGATTTCTGACATGCCGATATTTCTAACCACAGTAAACTTTACACTAGCAGGGAGAAAAATCTTGTCATAAATTTCTATGTCTCTTTTAGCTCTATTTCATTGGAAATATGAAAAGAGGATTCAGATATATTAGTTTTTTCTTCTATTAGTCTTTTCGTCTATTAGTATTCTCTTCTTTTTTTGTTGTTGTTGTTTTTTTGTTTTTTGTTTTTGTTTTTGTTTAGGCCTTTATTAATTATGCCCCAGGAAGCTATAAAAACACCTCACCAAGAAAAATGTCTATAATTTTTAAGATCAATTAATACTTTTTCAGTATAAATACAGACATATCATGTATATCATACTCATATGGGTTTTAGATAAGTGCATGCATGCAATATCATGCTTGGAGATGGTATCAGAACATTTTTGCATCCACCACTATGACACTTAATAGGAAGCCCACAAACATCCACTTTAATAAAATAGGCCTGCTGTAAGCATTAATGAACTAGTCACCAATAAAATGTGATTGAAAACCACTGTGATAACACAGGTTCAAATATTTAACATGCTTTCTTGTCCTAGTGTTTCATTTTCCTACCGAAAGTATTTCTCTTCTGAACTAAAACATATTTAAAGCCTTCATTGAAAACTAAACTAGATGAGATATACAAAAATCTGAGTTCTAAATTCATCTCTTCCAAAACTTATTATTTACTTTGGAAAAGACTTTTAGTTTCTAAAACTCAGTTTCTCCTACATAGGTGGAGAGTTTGGACAAGGTAATCCCCAATGTTGCTCTAAATTGAAACATTCTGGTAATGTAAAGTGCAAATATGTTATCTTAGAATGATAACCATTTAAACTATTTAAGTTTATATTAGGTTTCATACTAATTGAGCAGATACATAATATTATGTAAATATATTTAATACATATATAATTCATTATATAGCCTACAAAATATTTTCACATAGATTATCTCATAATTCTTGACAAAATCTCTGGAGAAAAAAGATACATAGTTTTCTTTTCGAAAAACCATTACCAGCCCCATTCTCCAAAAAAGAATATTAACAAAAAAGAATATTAACACTCACTTGAAAAAATATTTTTATATTTCATTCCAAATTCCAAGTTAATTCCACAACAATAAAATAACAACAACTAACATTAAATGGGGAAACCTATTAAATGCTGAGCATTACATTAAGTAGTTTAACAGTAATTTAAAATAAATGACCTCACTTAACCTTCATAAAAACCTCATAAGGTAAATATCATCATCACACACAAGGATAATAGTTGCCTCTTTGCCTTGTTGATGGTTTCTTTTGCTGTGCAGAAGCTTTTCAGATTGATATAGTCAAATTTTATTTTTTATTATAGTTCCCTTGTCTTTGAGGTCAAATTCATAAAATCTCTAAATCCAAGGTCCATGAGTTTAGTATCTATGTTTTCTTCTATGCAATTTATTGTTTTAGGCCTTATATTCATGCTTTTGATCCATTTTGAGTTAAATTTAGTATATAGTGATAATGCAGTCTTGTATCATTCTTTTGCAACTAGCTTTCCAATTTTCCCAGCATCATTTGTTGAAGGGGCTTTCCTTTCTCCATTGTATGCTTATGGCTCTTTTGTCAAAAATTATTTGCCCATGTAGATGGAGGTTTAATTCTAGACTCCCAATTCTGTTCCATTGGTCTATGCATCTGTCTTTCTGCCAATACTACGCTGTTTTATTTATTGATGCTTTGTAGTATAAGTTGATGTCAGGCAGACTGATACCTCTGGCCTTTTTCCACAAGATCACTTTGGTTATTTGTGGTCTTTTGTGATTCCATACAAATCTGATGGTTTCTAGGTCTATTTCTTTAAAAATTACCATTGAAGTTTTAATGGGAATTGCATTAAAGCTATATATTACTTTTGGTAATATTTAACTATGTTGATTCTTCCAATGAACATAAAATATTCTTCCATTTCTTTGTGTCTGCTTTAATTTATTTTAATAATGTCTTGTAGTTTTCAGTATATATGTCCTCCACATTGTTTATTAAGTTTATTACCCATGAGTCTTGGATATAGAGAAAATTTTATGAATTTGACCTCAAAGACAAAAGGAAGTAAAAGCAAAAATAAATGACTATATCAAACTAAAAAGCTCTGCACAGCAAAAGAAATCATTAACAAGACAAAGAGGCAATCATCCGAATGGGAGAATATATTTGCAAAAAACAACTTTTATAAGAGCCTAATATCCAAAATATTGAAAAACTAATACAACTCAACAATATAAAAAATATATCCAATTATAAATGGGCAGAAGACCTGAACAGATACTTTTCTCAAGAAAACATATGAAAGGATGTTCGACTTCACTAGCTATTAGGAAAATGCAAATTAAAACCATAATGAGATACCACCTCATACTTATTAGAATGGTTATCATCAACAGGATAAGTACAAACAAGTATTGGAGAGTTTATGAGGAAAAAGAAACCCTCATACACTGCTAGTGTTTGAGAATGTAACTGGTACAGCCACTATGGAAAACAGTATGGAAGTTCCTCAAAAAACTAAGAATAGAATTACCATAGACTAAGAAGCCTTCTTCTCAATATTTACCCCAAAACTTCAAAACATTTATCTGCAAAGATATATGCACCCCACTGTTCATAGTAGCATTGTTCACAGTGGCCAAGCCAGGAAACAACTGAAGTGTCTATTGAGAGATGACTGGATAAAGAAGATGTACATATATACAATGGAATATTACTCAGCCATAAGGAAAGATGATATACTATCATTTGTGACAATATGGGTAGAAGATCTTGAGATGATCATGCTAAGTGAAATAGCCAGACATAAAAAAAAAAAATGAGAACCATATGATTTCACTTTTATGTGAGATATAAAACCGAAAGCTGCAAAGAAACATGACAAACAGAGACACATGGACAGGGACAGTGGATTAGTGGTTACCAGAGGGAAGCAGGGGAGATGGGAGGTAGATAAGGGTAAAGGGGGTCTAATATTTGATGATGGAAGAAAATTTAATTTTAGATGGTGAACACACAATGAAACATACATATAATCTATTATTGAATTGTAAACTTGAAAGCTATATGATTTTATTAATCAATGTCACCCCAGTAATTTAAAAAATGGATGATAGTGATGGTTTCACAGCATGGTGAATGTATTTAATAGCACTGAAGTATACACATAAAAATAGTTAAGATGATAAATTTCATGTTACGTGTCCTTTATTTTTATGTTGATAGTTAAAAAAGATATATCGCCTAGGATTTAGTACAAAAAATAAACTATTGTAGATATTTAAGAAAAAAAACTTAATTCAATAAAGGAAAAAAGACATAAAATTGTTGAAAAGGTGGAAATAGGCTTTTAGGTAAAAATGGTTTCTGGTGCTTGCCATGACTGATGCTATCTTAAGATGCAAGTTACCCTCAGGGACTGTCAGTTGACCTCAGGAAGGTTGGGCCTGTAACACTTGAAAGGAATATTCTGAATAGATAGGTAGGCCCATCAATTTGTTTATTGCTTTGGAATACAAAC